GTCTGTTTCCGTCTCCATCGTGGTTTATGTGGTCATGGCAGAAGCCATCCAGAGCTGGCTTAAGCAAAAACCTCAAGTATATTGGAAGCGTTCTGGGGTGGCTACGAGAACCCCCGCGGCATAGTGGAATGTGATGAGAAGGGCCCTGGGGACCTTAATGGGAGGAGCTGTGGTCCCTCCTGCAACCCTCTGCCATCTACTCGATGTTTCCCAGCTCCCAAGTTGTCTAAATTCAGATCTGAGAGGTGGGACAGACCAGCTCTCAACAGCTTAGCCTCTGTCCCTTGTCCCTCACTCATCCCAACAGCCATGACCAAGGGGAGTGGACCCTGGGGTCTCGCTCACTCGCAGATGGGCTGTGTTTAGCAGCTGGACCCCAGGGTTGGTGCAGAAGGCGGCAGAGAGCTTGACCGTGACTCCTTTGCTCAGGAAGGGCTCCAGGACAGCGCCCGGAGGTGGCTGGGGGGGCCTGCAGGGGGTGCAGGTTCCAGGCCAGGTCCCCACACACTGACAACCCCCTGTTCCCCCACAGAACCGGCCCTCGGTGATCACCTGCGCCTCGGCCGGGGCCCGCAACTGCAACCTCTCGCACTGCCCCGTCGCGCACAGCGGCTGCGCCGCGCCCGGGCCCGCCAGCTACCGGAGGCCACCAAGTGGTGAGTGTCTGGGGCTGCCCCAGGCCCAGCTGCAGCCCTTCGCCCTGGAGCTTATTTATTGTGGAGGTCGAAGAGTATATTTTGAGCACGTGCAGTGCACACAAAGCGTTGTGCACGGCTTGCGCAGGAAGGGCTTGAGAAACGTGCTGCCTCACCCCAGGACCTCACGGTCTGGTCACGGGAGACAGTAGGTCCTGTTTAAACTCAGTGCCACGTGCTCTCTGCACCCAGACCTTGGCCCAGTGCAGTAGGCAGGTCACCGTTTTACAGGCTCAGAGGGACCTGCCCAAGTCGCCCAGCTGAGGGGGAGGTGGCCCCTCCCCAGACCTGCACCGCCACAGCCCCTGAGGGAGGGTGCTGCGTCTGCAGCCGCCTGTGCTTTGACCACTGTCCTGCTTGCCTGCAGCCGCCGCCGCCTGTGACCCCGTGGTGGAGGAGCATTTCCGCAGGAGCCTGGGCAAGAACTACAAGGAACCCGAGCCGGCCCCCAACTCTGTGTCCATCACGGGCTCCGTGGACGACCACTTTGCCAAAGCTCTGGGCGACACGTGGCTTCAGATCAAAGCGGCCAAGGACGGAGCATCCAGCAGCCCCGAATCAGCCTCGCGCAGGGGCCAGCCCGCCAGCCCCTCTGCCCACATGGTCAGCCACAGCCACTCCCCCTCCGTGGTCTCCTGAAGGAGCCCCTCCAGCGGCACAGGATCTGCATGGTTTGCCTGAGCTTCGAACAGTCCGCTTAAAACAGAAAAGAGTCATGGGGGTGGGGCGGGGGGAAGGGAAGGGATGGTTTGTTCGCAAAAACCATGTTGTTGGGATTTTCGTTCTGTTCTGTTTTTGTACTTGCTTGGTATTTGTACAAGGGGGCCCTCAAACACGACAGCAGGAACTACGTGTGGAACATCTGTCTAATGTAGCATCCTTACTTCCTGCCTCAGTTACCAAAGAAACCTCTGATGCAGGTCTGCCGCCCTGACGGGGCCAGGACTCCACGGCGTGCTTTCTCAGCCACAAGCCATGACGACATTGGTGACCCAGACGCTTTGTGCTTTTCCATTTGCTTCTCGAGACCGGGGTGTGTGTGGCTCAGCTTCCATGGCGTGTTTGGTTCGGTCGTGTGTGCGTGTGTATACTTGAAGAGAACTGTCCTGTCTGATTTGCACTATAGGAGGAGGACTAGAGTTGCCTGACAACTTTAAGTGTGATGCTAGTACTCTGAGGGCAAACTGCTGAAAAACAAAGGATTTAAGGATGACATTTCTGACCATTTGTGTTTGTTGTTCTTGTTGTTTTTAAATTTAGACAAAACAGCTTTGGAAGGGGAAGTCTCATACAGGTTATAGGTCTTTCTCTAGATTTCAGGTGCTTGCAACTGGACTGCAGACTCTACCAATCACGGGCATTTTACCTTCCCTGAACACTGCAGTTTGTTAGACTAGAGCTGAGGTTGGAGGATTCCATAGTGCTTTAAACATGATGCATGTTTTAATGGAGAAAAAATAGCTGGTTTCTATTAATTGTATAGACAGTAAACAAAAACCTTAATACTTACTATCTTCTTTTCAGAATTAGTTTATTTTTGTCAGTTACAGTCCTAGATATACTTACTGCTGGTACAGTTGTACTCTAAGATGTGTATTTGATATTCACTTTACTCACAAGGATGCGGGGGACAGCCAGCTCCTGGCAGGCCCTTGCAGGGAGCAGGTGAGCAGTCAGCCTGCCTCAGCGCGGATGCTGGAGTTGTTGCCGCAGGCTGACGGCATTTATTTTTTGTGTCCCTGTCTGCTTTGTACAGGCTCCCGGGGGAGGTGGGGTTTGTGTCTTCCAGCTTCCCTCGATGCAGAAACTGCTCCTTTGAACTCTCTAGCTGAACAGCAGATTCCTGACAATCTGTGATATGGTATTTTGTTTGCTTCCTCGTACGCTGGGGCCAAGGCAGTATACATTCCTATGACTTTATACAGTTATTACTGCATTTATCGTTTGCTATATTAATAGCTACTAATTAGAAATTAGGTGGAGCAGCAAGCATGACAGACAGACAGTGGCAGTCCACAGCTGCTGTCTCGGTCGATGAGCATTTCTGTCCCCTGCCCCTCCAGTGTCTGCACACAGCCTGGCCCACCAGAGGGCTTGCCACGAGGCACCTGACCAGGTGACGTGGGCATGGCCACATCCCGTGGGAGGTCTGATGGGCTTGCAGAAACCACAGGAGCCCTCGAGGCTGGTTTCAGCATGAGAAAAGTCCAGCGTAGCTGTTGAATTTTGGGAATTGGCACCAAGCGGAGAGGTCAGAGGATCAGCGCTTGTGCAGTCACGTGGCTGCAGGCCTTTCCAAAAGTGGAAGAAAAGCCCTTTTCCTCTTGCCCCTGCACACATTTCACTCCCACGTTACTGGGCTTCCAAGCTTTGGCATTCAGGCCCCTGTATTTTCTGTAGGAAAAATCGTTGAGAACACTTTTTTTATATAGGTAACTTTAAGACCATCATTACGCTGTGCGTAAAGAATGTACAGAGAAATTTGTAGGTATTTTTTGAAGAACAATTAATTTGTTAATGATATGTAGCTATTTAATTTTTCCCTTTCCTATTGTAATCATTCATATTTTTTTGTTGTTTGGAAAAAAAAGTTGATCTTTTTTTTTGTTGTAGATGTGTCTGTAAAAGTGCAGGAACACAGTTATTCTATGAGAACACTGCATCTGCATTAATAGCCACTAGTTTGTTATTGCTACAGGCTACTGAGCGTCCTAACAGGAAAACGACCCGCTGCTGACCAGCGAGGAGGAGAGCGCTCCTGGGACCGTTCTCTTTGTCAGCGAGCAAGGTGGTCGCGCTGGGAGGGTCGGCGGTGCCGACGGCAGGGCCCTTGGTGCACTGACCTATCTGGGATGGGCAGTACCCTGGAGGGGCCTCGGGCAGCAGAAAACCAAACCTGTCCCTGAGCACGAGCACCCTCCCTGCGCTAGAAGGGGCTCCGAGACGTCCTTCCCAGAGCTGAGCCATCTGCAGCGCGTTCTGACCCTTCTCTCCGTGTTTGTAAATCTGTAATATACCATTCTCTGTGGCCTGTTTTTCCTGGAAGAAGAAAAAAAAGGTTTGGCAGGCCATCTTTTTTTTGTACTTAAAAGTAGCCTTAAGAACAATAATAAAGTGCTCTTAAACCACAGGCTGCGTGCGGCTCTTCTGTCCTGGAGGGAGCGCCGGGCTGGGTGGGCAGCGGCCCCCGGGGCTTAGCTGCGAGGCCCTGGGGCTGGGGGTGCATTTGGTGGCGCTGCACCTGTGTGTGGCCGCCGGTCCAAGCCCCACATGAGCTGGAAAGAGTAATTTTAATTTTCCACTTTCTGCTTTAGGAGAAGCGTCATTTAAAATCTACCCGACAGAAATCCTGCTGTTGTAAGAGTCAGCCCCAGACTCAATTTTGACTTTGGTTCTGGGCCTACAACAAAATTTAAAGCCATAGGAATAGAATAAAAGAAGTGTGGAAAGGGTGCCTCTGGCTCCTAGGCCACTGCAGGGACAGTGACATCTTACACACGGGGCAGGGTGGTCACAGACGCTAAGGATGTGCCCTCTCCTGGGTATCCACGCCCAGCTCCGTGGGCCGCACAGATGCACAAGCCCAGAAGGAAGAGGCACACCGGCCCCGGCCTGAGTGACGTGTGGCTGAGCGCTGGGACCCCTCAGCCACCTGGCTACAGGCTGAGGCAGACACACAAGGACAGCCACCCTACCTTAGAGTCAGGGCCTCCAAGCCACCAGCGAGGCGGCCCCTAGAGTGGAGCAGGCAGGCAGCTCAGCCCTGTCTGGGCCTTGAGTGCCCACAAGGGCAGGGAGGAGCCTCACACCTGGGCAGCTGCCAGGACCTGGCCTGAGACCTGCTACTGGGCCCTTCCAGCAGCTCAGGGCAGCAGCCGAGCCTCCTGTCCTCCCCCGGAGCAGGCAGGCCTGGCTATGTCCACAGCTGAGGACAGGCCAGGAGGTGGGCAGCTGGCTCTGTCCTTGGAGTGCTGGGGTCACTGGGATGAGTGTGGTCCCTTCAGTCTGCAGCAGCTCAGGTCTCCTTCCCTCTACCAGGGCCCCACGGGGGAGGGGAGACCAGGGTGGGCGGAGCCCCCAGTGGGGCCAGCACCACAGCCTGGGGCCCGGGCACTGCCTCCCCACAGTGGCTCCGGGCAGAAGCTGGTTTCTCATTTTTTCCCCATTTGGTCCGCATTGGGCCAACAGCTCCCCGTCCTCACTGCCACGCCCTCGGGGTCAAGGGGAAAGGAGCCTGGGAGTTGGATCATCAAATAATTGTGACAAGAAAAACAGAACCGCATATGGAGGGAACCAAGTCCCAGATCACTGGCAAGGCCAAAGCCAAGGTTATTATTCAGCTCAGAACTGGCAGGATCAGGAATCACGACATGGAGAACACTGGAGGCTCCTGGGCAGCGGAGGGGGTTCCAGTCCTCCAGGCATGGAGAGGAGGGACCAGACAGGTCGGAGGGCGCAGGCCCAGCATCACCAGTCTTGCTCCAGGGGGGACTGAGCGCTCCTCAGCAGGTGGCCGGAGAGGGGTCTGCCCCACTCGAGGGCTGTCTCAGACGGTCTCATCGTCGCTCATGTCCCAGATCTGCATGGAGAAGGGGGAGAGATTCAGCTGAGCTGTGCCATTGCCTGAGGGGGTTTCAAAACTCAGCAGCTGCAGGCGCAGCGGCGGGACAACAGCTCCGTGTGCAGAGTGAGGCGGCGCTGCCCACGAGCCTCATCCATGGCTCCCGCGTGGCCGATGGGCTGCCTTCTAGTCCTCGTACAAACGTAACCTCGTACACCAAACCTCACAGAAGTTACTTCACCTGCCCAAGACCTCAGCGGTCAGAAAGCCAAGGGCTGGGGGTGCGGGTGGGGGGCTGCCGCCTCCTCACCTCTCACGCCCGCCTTGGGGGCTCCTGGCCCAGCCAGGGCTGTCACCCTGGCTCTGCGGCTCTCAACACCACCCCGGATCCTCTGTATCTGATCGTGTCCTCCCTGCTGCACACCTGCCCTCCAGGAGGCCACCTCCATGAGGGCAGGGCCTCCCTGGCGTGTGCACCTACCACCCACTCCACCGTCCGCTCCGAATTGCAGTCCAGTTGCTGATGCTCCCAGACTCACGCTGGAGAACTGGCTGTCACTCAAGAGCAAGCCCTTTCCTGCCAGCCCCAGGGGTGGCCTGGGGCAGGATAGTGGAGACAGCCAGATCCTGCCTGGGCCCCTCGACCTGTGTCCTGTGAGTCTGACCCTCCGTGTGAGCACGGGAGAGCAGGGCCGCCCGCAGCATGGCCGTGAGGAGCAGCAAGGCATCGTGTGGGAGAGGCCCCTGCCCTGCCCTGGCTCATTCCTGTGGCCCTTGGCATGAGCCCCTGGAGAGGGAGCCGCCAGCATGGCAGGTCCCAGGGCCCCTTGCACCCTGGGCTCCCTGGAGGGCTGGTCCCTGAACCTGTGCCTTCAGCCTTACAAATTCCTAGAATCGGTTGCAAAAGGCCACCTCTAGCAGAGCAGAGAGAAGGAACAGTGTGTTTACATGAGGCAGGCCTGGGGACACGGGAGGCCCGGCCAAGGTAAATATCAACACCAGCTTGGCTTTCAAAGTCAAGGATATAGAAAATAAATACAGAGAGAAGGAAATTTCCTCTCGTTCGGACCCAGCTGCCTGGGGTGAGGGTGGTGGTGGGCGTCCCTCTTGCCGCCCCTCCATCTCTACGAAGGCCTGGCTGTCTGAGGACCTCAGGAGGGGATTGCGAAGAGATCCCAATGCCGGCACAAGCAGGGCTGGGGTCCAGGACCCAAATGCCCTTTCTCTGGGCCCAGCTCCCCACCAAGCTCTTCCTGGGCACACTAGAAATGCCCCGAGCGTGGGATTCAGTGACATAGGGTGGGGTGGCTGCATTTCCAACAAAGGCTGCATTTAGAAGCCCCTGGATCTGATCTTTGGGTTCTGATGGTCTGAATGGAAACCAAGCCACTGGAAGGTTTGAGAGCACAATCCATCTATTGTTTCACTCTCTTGTTCAATGAACACATGTTCCTGGAGTCTTCTCTGTGCCACACGCTGTGCAGACCTGCTGTGAATACTCCCTCTTTTCACGCCTCACAAATACCTGTGAGGTGCAGAAGGGAAAAAGCCCAGAGAGGCAAGGCAACTTGCCCGGGATCACACAGCAAGCAAGCTGCTGGAAGCATGGGTATGAGGAGGAGGGGCCGAGGTCAGAGGGCACTGGGCCAAAAGGAAGGAGAATGAGGTGGGTGAGCCTCCTGGGTGGAGCCCTCTGTGACCTCCCACCCAGCCTCTTGGGGTGGGGGTTGGAGGGTGCCAGCCCGGGCAGGACAGGGTTGCTGCCAATGAGTGCCCTCTGCAAATGGGCAGGGGGTGATTCACAAGGGGTCTCCAGGGACTGGGCTTGGGCTTTAAGGGAAAGTAGGAGCCTCCAGGGAGCATCTATCCATTTTATCAGAGCTCAGGCATGGGGCAGGGGCTCCTCAGTGCTCAGCCCCAAACCTGCCTGGGTGGCCTGGGACTGGTCCAGGAGGGCACCTGGCTGGCCCTTGCTCCTGGACAGATTCAGCCAATCTAGTAGGGCTGCTGCTGGCACTGCCTGGCCTGTGCAGGGGATCCCGCAAGACACCTGAAGGGCTTATCGTGACATGGCTCTACAGAGGGGGTGAGGGCGATGGCTTTTACATAACCTCTCGGGATTTTCCAGGAGTCCCTGGGCCAGGGACGGGCTCTCCACTAGGGCAGCCTGGCCTTTTCCCATCAGTTGGGCTCAGAGGGCAGCAGCAGTCTTCATTTTAAACCTCAAGAAACAAGCCTCATCTCCTTCTGGAACATGGACTCCCAGAGGGTGGCTCAGATCTGTGGGCTCCCTGCTGTGGCCTCAGCACAGCGCCTGGCACAGAGAAGGGGTGCAGTGAATGTCCTCGTAATGAATGAGGGTTGTAGAAAATTGGCAAAGATCTTTTTACATGTTAATACTCCGGTGCTGGCAAGGGTATGGCGAGACACTGCCACAGGAGGAGTATAAATTGGTACCATATTTTTTCAAAGAGGAGATTTGGCAACATGTAATACACATCTTTAAAAATGTTCATCCCTTAAGGAAGAGATAAATGATCATTTTTTTCAGATAACATCAAGCTACACCTAGAAAACCCAAGAAAATAAATGCTAAGATGAATACAAATGAAAAAGAGTATTCAGTAAGATAGCATGATGGAAAATTGACAACAAATTACAGGCTGCCCCCATATACAGTGAAAACAGCATTCAGTTCAAAAACAGAATGAAAGAGAAGAACCCATTATAAGAATAATGAAAAAGTTAAATGCTACAGCGTAAACCTAACATTAAATGTACAAAATATACATGAAACAAACCTCCAGAACAGTCCTGCAAAAGTCTTCCCAAGAATCTAACTTAGAGAGACATAAAAGTAAACTTGGGCAAATGGAGAACACTCCTTGTTTTTGTGCATAGGTCAATTCCACAGCAAAAAAATTCTAGCTTTTCCAAAGTGAATTTATAAATTTAACAGAATCTCATTTTTTTTTTTTTTTTTTTTTTACAGCATTCAAAAAATTCTTTTTATTATCAGCAAATGGTAGCACTTACCAAAGCAGTTTTATATGTAATAAAACTTTTTTATTGTTTCAGTCTTAGCTTGGAGAGGCAGAAAAGGAGACAAGCCCAGAACCAGGGAGAGAAAAGAGAGGAGTAATTAACAAGATTAATAATGGAAACTTCCTAGGAACCTTAGCAATCATAAACTGAGCACACACCGGGCCTGTCTTCAAAGATGGAGTGACAGGGAGAAGTGGAATTTCTTTTTCTATTTTTTTTGTATTCTTTGTTTTTATTTTTTTTTATTTCAAGATGAGGGTACAAACATTTTGGTTACATTTTATGATTTTGCCTCACCCAAGCGAGGATTAGAGGCGTGCCCTTCCCCTCTACAATGCTCACTGCGTCCATTAGTTGTGAGTTTACCCCCTCAACCTCCTAAACCCTGGAGAATATTACTGCCGTGTGAGCACCATAGTGTTGATCAGTTAGTGCCAATTTGATGGCGAGTACATGTGGAGCCTATTCTTCC